CGGAACTTATCACAGACCATTTCTCAAGCAGGTAACAAGAAGGGAAAGACCAGTGAAAGAGAAATGAAAGCCATCAAAAATGCTTGTTATAGCTCTATTTTACCTTGAACCGGTGCTGAGCCACACAAACAACATAGCATTAGAAGGGCAGATTTGCTGTGGGAAATAAAAGATTTGGGAACACTCATACTGCAGATAGCTGCAAAACTCCTAGTGTGACAGCCGATTACCATTATCCACAGACATTTCTCTTCTTTCTCATGGCCAATAAGACTTTCTCACAATTCAAACGTCACTCTACCCAATTTCATCTTCATACTATTTTTCCCTCTGTTCGTATTGCAATAGGGACATGAGCATGGCCATCAGGTAAAGATAACATTGTTATTTCTTCTTTAGTGTCATTCCCTCTGAGGATATTTCTGAACCATGCGTTTTTTAAATGTTACTTGTTTAACAGTATGAAGCACATAGGGTTTTTTGGGAGGCTATAAATAAAATAAATTATGGAAAATATACACAGTACTGTCAAAACAGAATAGCCCTTATGAACTACATTCTTCAGATCTTCTCCTTCCTTGATCTCCTCTATGGTCACACAGTGGACCTTGTCACGTCCTGAAACAGTAGTCACTAATTTAGACCATACCTTCCCAATCTTCTGACCTTACAGAACCTCCAGTCCACTGGCCCCTCCCCCCCTCCCAGCCCATCACATTTCAAGAAACTATTGGTTCCATAGTTTGTTCAATTCCTCACATTTCCCTGACTAAAGTCTAGCTCTGGATACATCCAACTATCCACCTTCTCCACGCATGTTTCTGAGCTTTTGCCCATACTTGAGAAAAGTCCCACAAGGTTTCTCTAGACAGCTTGCTCTCCCACTCTGAGCTATCACTACTTAACCCTTAGACATTTTCCCACTCTTCAAACCTTCAATCTCCCCTCTAACCTCCTCACTCCCAGCAGATAATCTCACCTCCAACCAACCACGCAGAGAAAAGACACTCCAAATGGAAATTCCCTCAACTTGCCTTTCCTCCTTCCCTCCTGTTATAATTAGGACTCTCTCCTGTTTAAAAGCAATCCCTCCCACCTGTGTTCTGGATCCCATTTCCCCCATCACCTTAGGGCCTTCTAGCTAGCTATTCACAGCCCACGCCCACCCCAACCCCACTTCCCATCTCACTCTTCCCTGCTCACTCCTTCAGGTCAGCATTTGAACATGTCCGAGTCTTTCTCTGCCATTTTACTAAAAAAATGTCATCTTGTTTCTCCACTCTTACTTCATCTATCCCCTTCTCTTTTCTCGCCTTCACAGAGAGTCTTCCAGAGAGTTCCATACATTAACTCTTTCTGTGCATCACCGCCCACACACAACAGTCTTGATTCCACTCCCACAAGTCCCATGAAACAGTTGTCACTAAGACCAACTATGATCACCATGTTACAAAATCCAGCGGAAATGAGGACCCAGGAAAATCTCCAGAAGAAACTTAAATTGATCACCTTGCCATGATTGTCATTTTCCCTTAGACAAACTGTAATATATAGACATTATAGAAACTGTCACCTTACACAAAAATCTAACAAAAAAACAGTTTGCAATCACATTTATGGATACTAACAACAAATATTTAGCAAAGTTAGATTTTAAAAATAGATTAAAGAAACTTCATAATATATAAAGCGTGCTAAAGAAAACCTCAGAAAATTTGTTTGGGTTTGGTTTAGGCTTTTTTTAAAATATATTTTATTTTTTATAGCAGTTTTAGGTTCATAACAAAATTGAGTAGAAATTATAGAGAGTTCTCATAAATCCCCTTCTCCTCACACATATACAGTCTGCCCCACTATCAGCATCCCCCGCCAGGGTGGGGCTTTTTTTTTTACCATCGATGAACCTACATTGACACATCGTTATCACCCAGAGTCCACAGTTTACATTATAGTTGCAAAGTACAGTAATGTAATGTATACTATACATTCTATGGGTTTGACAAATGTATAATGACATGTCTTTATCATTGTAGTATCATACAAAATAGTTTCACTGCCCTAAAAACCTCTGTGCACCATTTCTTTATCCCTCCCTCACCCAACCCCTGGCAACCATTGATATTTTTGCTGTCTCCATAGTTTTGCCTTTTACAGAATGTCATACAGTCAGACTCATAGAGTATTCAGCCTTTCAGATTGGCTTCTTTCACTTAGTAATATGCATTTAAGGTTCCTCCATGTCTTCTCATGTCTGGGTAGCTGATTTCTTTTCAGTGCTAATAACATTCACTGTCCGTACATACCAGTTTATTTATGCGTTCACCTACTGCAGGGCATCTTGGTTGCTTCCAAGTTTTGGCAAGTAGGAATAAAGCTGCCATAAACATTGTGTGCGGGTTTTTGTGTGGACATGTTTTCAATTCATTTGGGTCAATACCAAGGAGAAAGTTTGCTGGATTACATGATAAGAGTACATTTAGTTTTGTAAGAAACTGCCAAACTGTCTTCCAAAGTGGCTGTACCATTTTGCTTTTCCACCAGCAGCAAATGAGAGCTCCTATTGATCCAGGATAGTTTGTTTTTACAGAAATAAAATAATTCTATGCACATTACTCCACACCTTCCCTTTTTGTCTTAACACAAAGCACAGACATCTCATTAGTTAGTGATAAAGATCAAATTCCCTTGTTTTAATATGTGTGAATATGTATATGTGTGCGTATATATATATATGTATGTATAATTTTATATAGCTAGGATAGTATACGTGCTATTTTTTTCAAATCCCGACTCTTCCATTTTGCCATGAGCATTTTAAAACCTCAATGCCTCAGCTTTCTCACCTGTAAAATAAAGATAATTTAGCGAGTTTACGGAGTTAAGATATATAGTGTGTTTATAACTGTACTAGGCATACTAAACACTAGTAAATGTTATAATTATAGGGAAAAATTGTTAAAGATGTCAGAATGGACCAAAGAGATTTCTGAGTGTGCCATATAGCAGGCGCTTCCAGGTTATAGCAACCTTTCATTGTTACGGAGCTATTTTACAACTCTGTAAGTTGCAGAAAATGGAGAATCATATAAATTATTCTTGCCCATGAAAACGCAATTTCATTGTGTCCCGCGGAATATAATCGATTACTGCCTCATGTTTTACACCTATTTATAAATTCATTCCAACATTCCTTATTTGCCTACATAATGTGTGGTTCTGTGAATTTCCCTTTGTGTCAACTGTAACATCTTACTGGTTCTCCCATCTTTGACACATGTTCATTTTATATTTGTATGAGAGTCATGATTCCATATCTTTTTAAAGTATCCTTCAACACTTAATTATAGTATTTTTTCAAGAAAACGGTTGTGAGTCAAAAATATATTCTCACACATGCAAGGGCGCAGATATATACATAGAACATAGAACACATACCTTCATTGTTAAAAGTGCTTGAAGAAATTGGCACATTGAAGCACACATCTACATTAAGAACTCTAGAACAGCAAAGAAATGAAGTAAAACACTGAATTCTTTAAATATAAATCATATAAATAATTATGGCTAGGGGCTGGCCCCGTGGCACAGCGGTTAAGTGCACACGTTCCCCTTTGGCGGCTTGCGGTTCGCCGGTTCGGATCCCGGGTATGGACATGACACCACTTGGCAAGCCATGCTGTGGCAGGCGTCCCACATACAAAGTAGAGGAAGATGGGTAGGGATGTTAGCTCAGGGCCAGTCTTCCTCAGCAAAAAGAGGAGGATTGGCAGCAGATGTTAGCTCGGAGGTAATCTGCCTCAAAAAAATAAGTAAATAAATAATAATGGCTAGAGGATGCAAGGAAAAAAGGATGTTTTGAAAATAACATATACTATTTTTCAAATAAATTTAACTACAATAATCTGGAGAGGATTCCAAGAAGACGGGATACAGTATACGACTCTGACAGCCTCCCATGCCCAATTCCCTTCTTAGGTAGATGGGAAACCCTATTCCATAACTACCTTGGAACATACAGAAGAATTTCCCCTACCTGCCTGAAAAACTTTCCACAGAAAAGGTACAGTTGAGAGTCGGGTGGACTCTCTTTTCTCTTTATACCTGCTTTGTTCCCCATCAGGACTCCCAAGCTGAGAATTTTCCCTTCCGGCAGCTTCTTTCTGCAGGTCTTGCCAAAAACAGACCTTCCGCCCGCAATCATCTGCTTCAACTAAGCGGATCCAGCAAGGGCCAGTTAATCTCTGATCCGTGTATGCGCAAAAATAATAAGTTTGATTTGTCTCTTTTTGTAAGCATAAGAACACTAAGAAACTGTAAGGAATGTATACTATCTTGACCCAAAATGCTTTGTCAGGAAGAGAATCTGCAGAAAATGTATTTGTTTAAAACTTGCAAAACAAATTAACGTGATTCTGACTCAGCAATGTCTGAGCACTTACAAACCCATAAATAAGCCACACCATCCACATCAAGAACATTTCTTGAATGAAAGGTAAGTGGCTATGGGGCCGTTGGTGGGTATCTTGACCAATGAAGGAATTAGTATAAGAGTGACTTCGCAGCCCTGCTACGGGAAAGCATGCTAAGAAACGACGAGGAATTTACCTCAGGTATACCCATATTTTCTACTTAACAAAGAAAAGCTACAGTATACTTAAATGCGTAATTCCTGAAATGAATTAATAAATATAATTCTGCCTCATACGGGTACAACTCTAAGAAACGTCAAGGAATCCATATCATTTCCACTCAGAATGTTTGCTTCTTGGAAAGAAAGACAGGTCTTTCCCCAAAAAGGTAACCAGATATTATTTCCCCAAAATATGCTAACCAAATACTAAGTCTTCTAAAAAGTTCACATCTCTCTAGACCACATGGCCCAAATTTTGTCTGAAAGGACCAGATAGTAAATACTTTTGGCTTTACAGACCAAATGGTCTCTGTCACAACTATTCACAGTTGTGCAAAAGACTGACGACATGTCAACAAATGGTCATGGCTGCGTTCCAAGTAAATTTATTTACGAAATCAAGCAGAGCCCCAGATTTGGCCCTAGGGCCATAGTTTGCTGACCCCCTGCTCTAGACCTTACCTCTAGAACTCACAGTTTACACAAAACAGTGTGACGAGGGGGTCAGTAAATACTCCCCCCCACACCCCCACCGCACCCCGGTGTCCTTGTTTCCCAGAGCTCAGAGCTCCGTGCTCTCCCTAGAACTGTTTTCTAAATAGCCCAACGGCCCCTCAGGCAAGGAGAAGAAAATCTCTCCTTTGTCTTGCTTGTTAGTATTCCAGATTGTTCCTCAGAGTCAATGAAGAAGAGAAGATGCAGAGGACATTTTCAGAGAAATCTTCTGTAATGTGTGACTTAATCTCACTTCAAAGGGATCCTCTTCTGGCTCAGAGAAGGGCATTTTAACCCAAAGCACCACTTCTTCCTCACAGGAAATTAAGTACCAGCGTGGCTTAGGCTGCCATCTTGTGGCTAATTGGAGGAAGGAAAGGGAAAATCGTTGGACCCAGACACTGGAACAAGCTGGAAACGTGTGCTTCGTAACAGGCCTCTGTAACATGTACCAGATACTGGGGCTATACAGGGAGTCAAAACTCAGTTCTCATCCTCAAGGAGCTTACAATCTGTAGGAGAGAAGATAGATATTAATCCAAAAATTTGCAAAAAGATAAGTAAAATTACAACCATGAAAAAAGGTCTGAAGGAGCTTTATGTGGTGCTCTGAAAGTGAATAAAACAGATTTGACCTCGGGGGGAAGGTAGAGAAAGCGTCCCTGTGGATGAGATGATTCAACGAAGGCCTGAAGCTGAGGAGGGACCTACCAGGTGAAAAAGCGAGGGAAGATAATTTCAGAGAAAGGGAACAGTGTCGTAAAAACTTGGCGGCGCGAGGGAAGCAAGGCAGAGTGTGGTATGAGATGAGGCCAGGGAGGCACAGAGGGGCCAGGTTGTGCAGGGCCTCAAAAACCGTGAAAATGGGGGAGGTTTCTTTATCCTATAAGCAGAGCGAAACCATAAAATGGTTTCAAGACGTGACAAAATCAGATTTACATTTCAAAAAGAGCACACTGTATCAGTCACAGTCCAATCAGGAGACAGAAACTACACAGCAATTTGGGAAAGTTTAATATCAAGAATTATTAACTATTTAACAGGAGATTGGAGTAACGGGGGACTGGCCTACAAGAAATCAAGATATAGGCCCAGCAGACATAAGGATCAGCCACTCCACCTTATATAGCAGATATAAGGAAGCGCCTCCTGCTCCCAGTGCTGAGCCCCAGACCTTGTTGGGGAGGAACCCACCATCGCTCCCTGGATAGCAGAGAAGTCACAGTGGGGGAACTTGCTGAAAATCCCCCCTCTAGGGTGCAGGGGGGTGGGGGGGAAGCCATTCAAAGGGAGGGAACTCTCTGGAGGTACTCCGCTCTGAAACCACCCAAAATGGGAACCACGAGGAGCTTCTGGCACTGAGTGCTGCTGGCCATGGACCCCTACAAGAGCTGGGCTCAGGAACCTGGTGCTGGAGAAGCCGGGCACTGGAAAGGCCGCGCGCCCGCTCTGCAGGAGCCTGTGGAGTAGCATGGGCCTGACTAGGAACGAAACCTTCCCTCCTCCAGTGTCTCTCCAGTGCCCTCTACTGACAAAGTTTAGCATCATGCAGCTGGCAAAGCAAAAATATTTAAAGGACCCAGCAACGCACTATGGATTTGAAGCTGAGAGGCCATAAATTGATAACCAGCACACATTGGCCTCTAAGTGGAGAGCCTTCTAGAAGAGAACCAAGAGTGGACGCAAATAGACCAGTTAGGAGGTACTTAAGTAGTCCAGGAGAGAGACGAGAAAGTGGTCATAACCTATAAGGGGCTAGACAACATACACCAGCAAGTTCCCCATGGGCTGTGGGAAGGACACCAAATAGCATGGTTTATGTTCCTTTGCTCACCGGACTTGCAGAAGAGCTGCCTCAGAAGGCGTGGCTAGAAGAGCTGCCTCAGAAGGCGTGGCTAAAAGAGCAAGGAGGGTCCGCTGTCAGGGTCTTGGTCTTAAGGCAGCACCAGCTGTACTGAGTCAATTCTTTGTACACAGTAAGGCACAGGAGGAGCACTGCTCCCAAGAGACAGACTTAACAAACACATGAGTGCAGTGCAATCAAAGCCACACCCAATGCATGCAAATACTACCGCAGCCAGGCTTACAAGAGCAGGCTTTTGGGTCCAAAAATTTACCAAAGCATGACTTCTGACAAACCATCACTCCTATTTTTAAAAAGCTTTTAAACAAATGGCCTTAAAAAAAACCACAGCAGCAAGCCTGGACTTCTGGTGCTTCATACAGGCCTTCAGTTTACCTGCTGTCTCAAAACCATCAGCGGGGCAAGGTCCAGGTGAGAGGGCTCAAGTGCCGCAGCTTGTCTGTAAGGGGTCTCCCCTCATTTCTCCAAAACATTAACACTGCCAGGTGGGAGAACCTGAGTACTAACTGAGAAGCTGAGGTTGAAGTAAATTTGCCTACAACTAAAATTTACCACTCAAACACAAAAACGAACAAGAGTTTATCAACGGCTCCTTCTTGGGCGGTGAGCCTGAGGATGGGGAGAGGGGTGGGGCAGGTGACTATTGCTTTTTTAATAAACTCTTCTGTGTGGTTTGATATTTTTTTAATCAGGCTTGAAACGAAGGTGCAAACGAGCTTTCAAATGGATAAGGGAAAGCTGTTACATCATGATGACACTCAACTAGAATTTTAATTACTCAAAGATTACCCTTGGGTCTGAAAACGACTTGAGGACTTTTTATTATCTGAGATGACTAAAGAAGTTACAGGATCTGCCTGAGATAGTCAATAGGGAAGGACACAGTTCCCCTCTGCTGGCACTCCTTTGAATTCAGCTCTCTCAATATAATGGCACCCACAGGAAGCACACTGAGAAAGAACTGCTTAGAACTGAGCTCTGCCCGTGGGTGGAACCAGGATTTGGACAAGTCTGAATCTAGCGGTAGCCTCAGTTTCTGCGAGAGTTGAGCAAGCTCTTCTCTTCCATGAAAGGTTTGCTTGCTCCTGCAAGTTGATTTGCACAATGCTGCAGCATCAAACCAGAACTCTTCCTCTTCGGGAGGCATGAATCAATATTTCAAAATGAGTAGCGAACCAGACCATCCTGGTGCATTTGCAAAGGAGGATATGGCTTAAAACTCCTTGAATCCATCATCCTGCCTATAACGAAGACGTGAAAGGCTAAGCGTAGAGAGCCCTGATGAGCCTCCACCGAAGGCAGTGGGTGGGTGTCTGAGGCCTGCCTCTAGCTTCAAGCTTAGGGAAGGGGATCTGCGCAGGATCCCTCAGAGAGCTTGCAGTTCAGGAGTAGCTGCGAATTGTCCTCTGACTCCCGCCTGGGAAACCCGGAGAACAGTGGCGCCTTCCAGGTGTGGCAAGTTCGCAGGGCTGATTCTTTCTGTGGAGCATTTTCAGAGGTTCCTCATTCAATGCCTCTCCTCCAGCAAGCCCCTAACAACACCCCCTCAACTTCTGCATCTTAACTGCACAGCCCTAACCCCCTCTGCAGAGGGCTCCTCGCCTCTGGGAGAAGACCTTCTTAAGGAGAGTTCTTTTGCAAGTGACCACCACACCAGCTCCTATCACAGACCCACTTGGCCCAAAGAAAGCTCACTCATCATTACCCTTCTGTCATTTTATCCACAACTTGTTCCTAAATCTAATTCGACCTGCGGAAAGAAACTGCTCTTGTCTCACCCGCAAAGCTTTGATTTAACAGCTTGCCCGCCAGCCATAAATAACAGCACAGTTCAAGGAGAGAGTATTGGTACTATTATTGCAAAGAAACCAAAAAGAATTTTTTTATTTCTGATGTGCGTGGGCGGGGCTGCAAAATATTCTATCATATGTGCATAACTATATTTTAATTAACAAATTCCCTATTGATATCAGATTGCCACCAACTTTTTTAATTAACACAAAATTCTAGAAACCAAACTTCACTCAACGCGCCACCCACGTGCAGAACTGGGCTCCTAACCCACCGAGGGAGAAACGCCCCGCCCCGCAGCCCTGGGAGCCGGCGTGCTGGAGTCGGCGCCGCCACCGTCCCGCCGCAGCGCGCATGCGTCACCTAGCCAGCACTGTTCACGTCCATGTTCCCCGCTCCGGTACACCTCCTTCAGGAAATGCAGTCTTCACTCCTCCTGCTTCCTTGCCGAACCCGGTTCAAGATGGTTAGGGGCTGCATCTAGAACCGTCCATCCCTGGGTAGCACGCCCCTCCACGACCCGCCCACACGGAAGCGGGCACTCTCCGCCACCGGGGGGCTGGGCAGGGCTCCGAGCAAGGAGGGAGCCTATCAGAGCCGAGGCCCCGCCCCCTCGCGCCACTATCTCCGGACTGGTGGGGTGATGTACTACCTGAAGATTTGTTGTGAGGGTTAAAAAAAGTACGCACGGTTCCAGATGCTTAAAGAGCATAAAGTGTAGCGATTGTTACCCGCCTCCATGTCTAGTCATCTTCCTTCCGGTGGCAGTGGTAGTTTGGCTCTACCTCTCCAAGATTAATCCTGTGCCCTCAGTCATCTTCCACCTCCTGAAGAACTTCTGAGCAGTTGCCACTCCTGTTGCCTTCATGTGATCCCTTTCTAACTGGAACTTCTTCAGTCCGTCTCCCCCATCATTTACACACAAATATCCTCCTGTTCTCTTGGCTCCTTACTGCTATAGCTACCTCTCCTTTCGCTCTTCCTGTCTCATGAAAACTGCAAAAGGTTATCACGTCCGTCTCTCCTTCATCCCTCCCACCCCATCTGCTTTACTGGCATCTGGCTTCTTTCACTCACTCCGCTAAAACTGCCCCCAGCAAGGTTTTGAGTGGCCGTGTCATTAAACCCAGTGAACGCTTTTCCGTGCTGCGTTCTCTGCAGCGTCTGCCACATCCCCCTGCAGACTCTGTACACCGCTCTGCCGCTCCCTCTGGTATCCATAATGCTCACGCTCCTCGTTTTCCTACCTCTGATTACTCCTTGCTGTGAGTTTGTCTCCCTTGCCCGGCCTCCCCCTGCTGGGTCCCAGATCACACCAGTCCTCTGTTTCTTTCACTCTCCACTCGTCCATGGATGAGCTTTCACGTCACTGGCTTGGTGTGCCAGTGACTCCCAAGCCCATACCTCTAGCCCAAATCTTTCTTCTGAGCTTCAGACTCTTCAGACCACAGGAAACTCAAGACTTAACACCTCCAAACCTGCTTCAGCTTCTGTGCATTATCTGTCTCCTGTGTTCATCTGTGGATGGCATCATGTGCTGTCGCAGGTCAGAAATGGAGGCGGCACCTTAGACTCCTCCATCTCCCTCATGCCCAGTTGTGGGTCAACTCCCTTGGGAAACAGACACTGAGACTTGTGGGCAGGTGGTTTGTTGGGGGGAGAGTGGTCTCAGGACCAGCTCTGTGAGGGGGCAGGGAGGGAGATGGGGTGGGGGGCTGGAGGGGGCATTGAACAGCTGATGCAGATGCAACAGTGGGCTCAGCCAGTCCTATGGTGACCTCTGGACCTGGGATAAGCCTTCAGAATTGTTACACGCTGAGGCAAGGGATGGGACACATACCCCCCAATTAACCTCTCACTGGATGTGGGCCGCTCTTAGGAGGGGGCTTGACCTTAGGTGAGGTGACTTTCTTTGCTGAGGGCTATTTCTGGAGAGGGACTTGGCTGATGGGCATCAACCATCAAAACTCCCACTGTCTGGAGGGAGGAGTGCCTGGTTTTAAAGAGAGAACCTGGGCATCACCCCACAGTCCCCATTGACATCTTCATACTCAGTTACTGACCAAGCGTTTTACCAATTTCTACATTTTAGTTTTCAAATGAAATCCCTCCCCTCTTCAGACAACTCTCCTTACTATTCAAAAATACCTGAGCATCTGTGTGCACCAGGCACTGTGGAAGGGACAGAGTGATGGGTCAAGCACACACACTTCCAGCTTTCAAGATGCTTTGTCTAGGTGGAGGGCGAATAATCATCCAAATATATACTTTAAAACCATAAGTGTTCTGATGAAAAATTAAAAGTGCAGAATGCTATGAGATCATATAACAAGGGAGGCTTGGCCAGCAGGTAGAGGAGTCGAGGCAGGGAGAGCTTCCCTGGAGAAGTGTCGTTGGAGCTGGAATCTGAAAGATGAGTGGGCGTTAACCAGATGTGTGCTTGGTTATTGGGGTGGGGTGGGAGGGGGCAGCTGTGGACAGGCTACGGGGTCATCTGCCTATGCAAAGGTCCTGAGACAGGTGGGACAAGCCACTGGAGGACCTGAAAGAAGGTCAGCATGTCTGTGTCAACGAAAATAATCCATAACCAATCTATAAATCAAAATTAGGGTGAGTTATGAGCCAGATCTGAGGACTAGCCTAACCTGGGGCCTTCCTTCCTCAAGGAAAGAAGGGCACCAAAGAAGTGGGGTGCACAGAGTGGTTATATACCATCTTGGAACAAAGAGCATACCTCACATATGATAGGAATGTCCCTTTTACAACAGTCACGAGATTGCCTAGCCAGCACAGCACAGCTATTCACAGAGCAGGTAGTAGGTCTGCTATCTTGATGGACACAGCAGGGTGGGCACAGCAATCAATTCCTAGCCTAGGGAGAGATGCTTATCCTTAAGGAAATGCCAATGTGGGGGAAGTTGCGCCTTTATCATGAGGCCGTTTACTCTCGTCTTTGGGACACAGCAAATGCTTAAAGCAGATGTACAATGCATGCTCAACAGCCATGTCAGGCCCTTTTGGAAAAACAAGGTCAGACCAAATTAGGTTTACACCAAATAGCTTCCTCATATACTCCAATATATCCTATTGCTTGCCATTTGCTTATCATCTGAAATGCAGAAACTGAGGCGGAAGAGTAGTAAGAGATGAGGATGAAGAGGCAGGCAGGAGCCAGGTCCTGCAGAGCTAAATATTTAGGTCCTCTTTCCTAAAAGTAATAAAAGCCCCTGAACAGTTTTAACCTCTGTGTAGTATAACCTTAGTTGAGCAGAATACTCAACTACCCAGAATCAGTGCAGATAAAATGGATAATACAGATATACAAAATGGTTAAAAGCTAAATTCTGCTAATGTTGGGCACTGGGGGAAAAGATGTTTTTGAATGCAGATATTATTAGTACTACAATAGCCTGCTTCTTTATCTCTAATGGCCACTTGTGGCTCCTCTAAACAATAATACCTGGCTGTTATTGCTTATTAAATGCTAGCATGTTAAGTGCTTTGCATAAATTATATCTTAATGAAATATCTTTACAAGTGGGTATTATTTAGAAATTGAGATAGAGTGCAACTTGCCCAAGTTCTTGCAGTCAGGAAATGACGGAGTAAGACGTGAAGCTGGATGTCCAGTTATAAAGCTAAAGCTCTTGACTGCTACACTGAAATACCCCACCTCAGCTTTGGGAAACACCCAGCCTCACCTGACTTTGAACTTCCTCCCATCACGCCGCACTCATCAGATCAGACACCTTTGGTAAATCGGTACCAACCTGACTCAAAACTAGGTTTGGAACACACACACCCTTAGACACCACACAACACAGGCTGCCTTTCGAGGGCCACCTCTAGAAGGAGCACTTTCTCCTGGTTGATTCCACCCCATCCTGACTTATTCTCCCTTACCAGCCCATGATTTTGATGTCCCAATCTTCTGGCAGCTAACCCCACCAATTTTAATGGATATTTGACAGAGAAATGCAAACTTAAATCTACTGTAATTTTCTCCTAATAAAATTATGATTGTTCTATCCCATTTGTCATGTTAAAAATTGCCCCCTCTTCCTAATCAAGAACTGGTGTGTTCCAAATTCCAGGTTAGACGCAATTATGAAAAGATCCACTAGATGTCAGCCTTGAGCTGCAATAGGGTTTCCTGGGACGTGGAGGAGGGAGCTAGTAAGGAGCAAGGCTAGAATGGAAAACCCTAGGTGTTTGGGTGATTTCCTTGGCACTGTGAACTAGGACAGAAACTGTAGTTAGCTTCTTGTGTTTTGATTTTTCAACGACTATAGATAATTAGATCAATAAATTAGATCATGTCGTTCCTCTGCTCGACAAGCCCCAGTGTGTCCTTCTCATTCAGAGTAAAAAGCAAAGTCCTTACCAGTCTGTAACACCGCCTCCTCTCCCTCGTCCATCGTCGCCCACTTCAGCCACACTGAAACATGCCTAAAACTTTTTTCCCAGAATTACCTGCCTGGTTGATTCTCATTAGATTCAGGATATTGAGGCTTCCTTCTCACAGAGGCCTTCCTGGACACCCTTCCTAAAATGGCACCAGCCTGCACCACCACACCCATAACACCCCGCTCCCTTACCCTGACTTATTTTTCCTCATAAAGCTTATCACCACCTGACATAGTTTCTTACTCATTGTTAGTCTCTCCCTGGATTGTCAGCTCTCCGAAAGCAGGGACTTTGTCTTGTTCACTGCTTCGTTCCCGGAGCCTAGACCAGGACCAGGCTTATAGGAGGTGCTCAGTATACACGAAATAAATGGTCTTAATTCAAAGATCTTCAGAGAAGATGTCATAGTTCAAAGAGTCATTTATTTTCATTTGGTAGATACTTATTAACTACCTAATATAAAGTAGGCATTGAATTGTGGGAGGTACAAGAGACAATATCTTATTGATGAGAAACACAGTTAGGTCTCTTGCTCTTAGTTCATAGGATCTCAGAGAGAACACCTATTATAAAAGGCTTTACCAAAAAAACTATACGACAATCATGGCTGCTCATTGTGAAAAACTGTGGAACAGAAAGATGATGCATGCATTCATCTCTAGGCAACTACATTTACTACCCTCCCTCCAAATAGAAAATTAATTCTTCAAACTTTTCTGGAAGGAGATGTTTCTGTAGAGTGGGAGCTTTCCTCGTGGATAACCCGATTCCCTTCCCCTACGGTTGAGATCCATTTTCTTTTGCTTCCCCCTCAGCGACACTGGAGACCACCCAGTCACCCAGCTCCCTCAACCTGTGCTATTTAAAGGTGTTCCTGGCTTTGATCTTTAATTCACAGTTAAGAGACTTAGTTGGTTTTTGCCTAGAAGACTCATGATTAAGTTTCATGATTTCCATGTCCATTCTCCCCATTCCTGCACCTCGTGCCCAGGGAAGAAAAAAATATAATAATCGTCTTTTCAGCACAAAATTTTGAAAGAAAGTCAAGAAAAATAATCCACCACATGCATATGGCCTGGTTTCCATCAAACCATAGGAGTAAATTACAGACTCCTTTGGACTCTAATCAATTACTTCCCCACTTCCCAGCCCCTCTACCCTCGCAGATGCCGTCATTCTAGGGGAAAAAATAGAGAAATGCTTAAGCAAATTATCCCTGGAAGATGATAATTTTTAAGAATAAGGGAGAATAACTAGTAAATCTTAAGTGATTTTACTCTCCAACACAGTTTGCCTGTAATGCTGGTAATTTCTTTTTATGTGAGAAAGATGTACGATTTTCAAACAGAGAATATTTTTGTGCCTTTTCCTCATGGATCTACAACCTATGGTTTATTTGGATATTTTCTCTCCTGTTGAAGAAAATTTAGTCCTATTTCTTTACAATTGACAAGTATATGTTTCCCTCTGAAATCTCTTCCATTGCTTTGAACTAGAGCCGAGCAAATCCCATGCATAATTCTGTCAATCTATTTCTTCTCCTTATGGAATCATTCCAAATACATGTGGCCACTTAAAAGGTGCTAATACAATTACGGTGACAAACTCATTTCAATGGACTTTATTTTACCCTGAAACAGCATATCTATAGGACAAGTTTGTTGAGAATTTTAAGCTTATTCAGATAAAAGGCCTAATGAGACCCTGATAAGCTATGAATGTTAGCCCAGGAGATGATCAGGGTAACTTGGCTGCTTTACAATATTATGCTGAGGGCAAACTTCAGCCAGCAGCAATACCTTAATGGACTCAGCAGGAAATTGCACCAAACCCTCCAGACGGTGGTGCTCCCTGTAGTTCTCAATTTAAGCTTAGGACAATATTTAGTGTATCTCTTATCTTAAAGTGAATTATGTCAGGGAGGGATGGAAACCAGTGTTTGAGAATAGAGAATTCCTGCCTTTACAAAGGTAAGGATAGTCACAGACTGATGAGGAGAAAATTATTCTTGAAATGAGAGCCCGAGAATATTATTCACGATTCAGAAGAATGGTTTAATTCAGGAGTTAGCCGACTTCTTTATCCACTCCTTCCTTCCAAGGAGATCTTTATCCACTCCTTCCTTCAAAGTCAAACTGCCTGCATTTCCTGATGAAACCCCACAATTTCACTTACCTATACTTCATCTAACAAGTGTGTTTCTCCAGCCCTCTCCTCTGGGCTGTGGTCTGTAATACCCAACTTTGAGTTGCCTACCCTCCACTTGGTGCTCTCTGAAGACGCACCTCTGAAGACACACTGAGTCCAAAACAGGCCTCAGAGAAGTAGCTGCTACCCTCACTGGGCTACGTTTCACTCTGCACATCAGGCCTCAACAGCACAAACCAGGCTGTGGCTTCAGTTGGACCCTAGGTTCAGGCGTGGCAGATTTTCTGGCCCAGTGGCTCATCTTTCTGCCTCCTGTGTCCTTCTATCCGCCCACCTGAGCTGGGTTACTAGCCTTCACTCCTGCTGGTACCCCTTGCGGAGTAGGCGAGGCAGGCCTGTGGGCTTCACTGCTGGCTGATAAAATGAACTCTGCTTCTGCTGCACAGACCTTGCCCCTCCTACTGCCACACCAGAGCACGCAGGTCCCCAGGAAGCCACATTCTCCAACAGAATTTACCAGATGCTCTACATTTGAGGGATTTGTTGGACGTTTACCCAGGCTGTAATAAAGATGACACTTTGGTCTCCATTTTGCTGGCGATCCTTATATGAACTCTTCCATTAGCCAGAACCTTGGAGAAGAGGAATGGGTTACAGCAAACCCCACATTGAACCCCTAATACATTCGTGATGCCGTGTTTCAGATCTAATGTGACAGACACGAAGGGATGAGATTTGAAACCCAAGTACCCATGATGAGATCAAGGCTCTTGCTGCAAACACGGTGACTGATATGAGTAGCTACAGGAACCTAGGCAACTCGCCTCGGCCAACGCAGCAGGTTACAGCAGGTTTTACTGTAGTGTCAGCTGGAATAAAAGCACAGCTTTGGCTGGAATCCTCAGATGCCAAACAAGAACTGAGATTTAAAAAAAAAGATCCAGGGCCTGTCCCGTGGCCGAGTGATTCAAGTTCTGCACACTCCACTTCAGCGGCCCAGGTTTGCAGGTTCAGATCCCTGGTGCAGACCTACTCCACTCATCAGCCACACTGTGGAGGCATCCCACAGACA